CTTGTTGTTACTGTGTCTGGCATATCGAATACGTCACGGGGAGCTTGCCAGGCTTTGCCGTGCGGGCAAGATACTCTCGGTAGCTTGCCGGGCTCTCCGAGAGGGGCGGAAGAATCGAACCCGGGTCGGCAGGGCTGGCTGTGTGCAAGGCAAACGCTCTTCCGCTGTGCTATCGCTCCAGCCTTTTGGCTAAGATCAAGTGTAGTATCTGCCTATGGATACTCAGCCATAAACAGGAGGAAAATACCAACACAACGCCAGGAGGTGAGGAGATGAGTCCATCGAGGTAAGAAGCAGGCCTGCCGATGACCAGCGCGGGAGGGAGTGGACACGGGCAGACAGGACACATCGCCCACGAGCTGGACGGCAGCTGTGTCTGCACGCTGAGCTGGCGGCGTCTACACTCGCAACGGGCGAACTATATGGGAACCACCCGGAGCTCACGGAGGAGCGTGATAAACGCAGACTCGGTACCCGAGGTCGGAGGGACACGGGGTGGCCGAGTCAGGGTCCCTTCACAGCACGAGACCGAGGCGAGCCGGCCTGGCCACCCCTGACCCGCCGCCCTCCTGGGCACAGACCAGCGGCGGAGGCTCTTACGTGGGCAGCAAGTTTCCCGTCGAGCCGATGACCTCGTGGCTTGACCTCTCCTGAGCTGTGGCAAACCCGCACAGACGGAGCCTGGACACCACGTGTCACCGACGCTGGAAGGAAACGACCCCGTGACTTCCGCACCAGCATGAGCCACGCACGCGCGTGCGCACACACACACAAACACACACACACACACGGGTGTGCTCCGCGCTCCATCGGTCACGGATGCTTCCAGAAGGGGAAGACGTGAGTGCAGAACCACTCCTGCCTCAGTCCAGACGACCGTCACGCTAGCCCAGGGCGAGGGAGAGGCTGTTCCTGGCACCCAAGTCTTCAGAAGGTCCCAAGGAGTCAGGACTCGGGGGAGGCCAAGCCAGAGCCCGGGGGGCCCCTTGGCTCTGAGGAGACATCAAGGGGGAGTTGCTGGAACTGACCTTTCCTTCTACTGGAGGAACTGAGCACTTGGCGGGAACAGCACTGCGCTCGGGTGGAACAGCACTGAGCACAGACGGAACAGCACTAAGCTCGGGAGGACCAGTACTGCACGTGGGTGGAACAGCACCACACGCGGGTGGAACAGCACTGCACTCAGGGGCCAGAAGCACTGCACACTCAGGAACAAGCACTCAACCATGCAACATTCTCAGCTGCCCAGGAACCTGGCCAGTAACCACCCGACGGGCTCGCTGAGCACTGCTCCTGAAGTCCCCTAGCCTGCAAACTGACAACTGAACGAGTCACCTAAGGAGACCTGTGGGCCGAGAGGCCCTCCCGCAGCAGGCCCGGGGCTTGCCTGGCACGGGGTGGCCCTGTCGGAACCCCAGAGAGCCCGTGAGCCCCGCCAGGGGTGACCCTGAGCACTGAGCCAGGAGTCAGCCCCGACCACCCCCAGGTGTGGCCCCCAGACCCCAAGCCCGACCCACCGACACAAAGGGCAGCTTGGCAGCCAACAACAGAGACCCAGCGGAACCCCGGCCGGGGGCGGGCAGCTTCTGGCCAGACAGAGGCCAACCGGCTTGTGGGCACGGGCCCAGCAGATGGGACACACGCCTTCTCGCCGCCGCCCCCGTCCATCTGCCGGCCCCGAGTGGCCCATGAGGATCTTCTCAATCCCCAAACGGCCCCAGCGAGAGCAGCCCCCCGCCCGGCCCTGGGTGTGTCTGGGACGTCTCCGTCGCCCCCCGCCCGCCCCGCTGACCCAGGGTCCCCGAGACTCCAGGGCTGGGCGCGCGTCCACAGAGGCACCGTGCGTTGAGCACTGCGACAGGGAGCGCAGCCGAGTGAGGGCGCATGCTCCCCCGGAGACGGTCGCAGCAGGGCCCCTCTGCCTCTCAGGCCCAGGCTGCGGGAGCCCAGGGCCGCCCCCCCTCCCACTCCAGACCGAGCCCCTTCAGGCTGCGCCATCCTTTCCCTCACGAGACGCCCGTGAAACGCAGAGGAAGAGGAGGAGACTGTGCTTCATCTGGGGCTAAACACGCCTCAGTTCGCTCCATCGGTTTGGGGGGCTCAGGGGAGGGGCACTGGGGGCCACACAGGCAGTCCTGGGGCTCATCCCGCCCCGTGCCTAGGGGTCACTGTGGCTGGGCTCGGGGACCCAGTGACACACCCCGGCTAGCCGCCACGAGCAAGCACCCGACCGGCTGCCCCATCTCTCTGCCCCGAGACGCCGCATTTGGTCACTCCTCCCCTGTGACACTCCCTTTCTCAGGAGACGAGATTTCCCACCGAAGCAAAGACACTGCATCTCGGTCCTGGCAGCCCAAGGTCACAGCCGGGCCAGTTCTCCGCTGCCGCATGCGCGTGATGACTGAGCACCCAGGGCAGGGAAGCGCTCACTGCGCTGCAGATGATTCACAGAAAGACGTTCCCCCCACGCCGCCCCTCGCTGCCACTTGAAAGGTACTGACGAGGTCAGGGATGCGAGTCAAGTGGTGAGGTTCTGCAGCACGTCCCAGACGCTGGGACTGAAACCCAGGCACAGCGGACCCCTGCCCCGATTAGCACAGCACCACCAGCTACTGGCCCTGCAACTGGGAAGGAGGGGGCAGGGAGGGAGGGAAGGAGGGAGGGAGAAAAGGAAGGAAAGAAAGGAGGGGGGAGGGAGGGAGGGAGGGAGGGAGGGAGGGAGGGAGGAAGGAAGGAAGGAAGGAAGGAAGGAAGGAAGGAAGGAAGGAGAAAAGGAAGGGAAGAAAGGAGGGAGGGAGGGAACGGAGGAGGAGCTGTCTTGGGAAGTGGAAGTACAGAGGGCGTCTGTCCGAGGAGGCTCCCAGCAGCCAGTTCCTTGCCTCCCCCCTGCCCGGCCTCCCCCCTGCCCGGCGACACTGAGCTGCCCACAGGCTCGCTGGCGGGTGGCGGGGAAAGTGCCCAAGCTGCCCTGGAGGTTGGGGCTGCAGGGGGCGGCTGGCTCAAGACACCGAGGCTCACTCTGAACCCCACCCCCCCGCTGCCCGCCCCACCAGGTTTCTCTGATTTGGAGCCGGGATCGATCGGACTCTGAGACCCCTCGCAGAGAGATTCCTCTGCTCTGCACAGACACAGACGGCGCGGAGGTCACGGCGCTGGCCTTGCACAACAGCAAACGCGGCCCAATCCTCAGCACACACCTGGGCCCGTCAGGTCACGACAGCCGGGGGTCACCCGGGGCCCCAGGCAGGCGCATCGGTGACAGCAGTGAGAGGCGCAGGGGTCCCGCCCGCTGTCACTCCCGCCTGGGCGTGGGGGTACAGGGGACGCCAGTGGAGGCTGCCAGACGGTGAGCCCAGACGCGTCAGACACAGACTCGGTCCCCCCCCCCCCCCCCGGGAATGAGTCGCAGGTGGCAGGGCCAAGCAGGGGAGGAGGCGAAGGGGTGGTCCTGGGGCCGGAGTCTGACCCAGTTACTCATCGGCAACGGGGCAGGGGGGAGGCCAGCCAAGACCGATGCCAGGACGGCACCGTCCGTCACACCAGGAGAGGCACCCGGATGCGGCGTCACAGCTCTCTGGGGCCGTCCTGCGAGGGGCTGGGGCCCAGCAAGCCAGGGACCTGCACGTGGAGTGACACCAGGCACAGAGTCACAGTCAGGCCCTGAGCACTGCCAGGGGGGGGCACAAAATAAACCTTAAAAATAAAATCCTTGGACGGTTCCCACCCCCAGGACTGTGTTCCAACAACGCCGTCCCCATCACCTGGGCAGGCCAAAGCACAGCACGGCCCATGCCACGCCCGGTCTCCCTGTTCCGCCACCTCTCCAGGCCCAGGGCTAAGGCCCGAGTGTCCCCTGCGGGTCCCGAGCACTCGGCCTCCCCGGAGCTCACACATCCACACTCCCTGTGCCCCAGCCATGGCTGCTGCGACCTCAGACAACTGCAACCTGCCCGTGCCTCAGTTTACTTACCTCCACGTGACAGGAATCCCACAGATCCAGGCTGCATCTTCTTCCGTGACCCAGACCCGGGGGTCACACGGAACCTGAGATTAAACAGCGTTCCCGGAGCACTTTCATGCCACCCCCCAAGGAAGCGGGCACGCTCTAGTCACGAGAAGGCCACACAGACACCTGGCAGAGCGCGTTCCCGCATCCACAAGGAGGTTGTCTTCCTGAGGAAACCCTGCGGGCTGCCTTTTCTACAGACACAGTAACTGCCACTCCCTAGGCCGGCGGGGAGGATTCTCCACCTGGAGAGGGTCGCGTGACACGGTGAGCTGCCGTCTACCAGCTGTTGGGCTTGCGGGGCCAAGGATGACATGGCACTGGGACAAGAGTCCCTAGGGCTCCCAACGTCTAGGGTTAAACGCAGATATCCAGTATCAGGGCCAGGGCTGGGAGTAAGAAAAGAAGATTGGGGCTGGAGCGATAGCACAGCGGGGAGGGCGTTCACCTTGTTCACGGCCGACCCGGGTTCGATTCCCAGCATCCCATATGGTCCCCCGAGCACCACCAGGAGTGATTCCTGAGTGCAGAGCCAGGAGGAACCCCTGAGCATCACCAGGTGTGACCCAAAAAGCACTGTATCACTGTCCTCCCGTTGTTCATCGATTTGCTCGAGCGGGCCCAGTAACATCTCCATTTTTTGAGACTTGTTGTTACTGTGTTTGGCATATCGAATACTCTCGGTAGCTTGCCGGGCTCTCCAAGAGGGGCGGAGGAATCGAACCTGACTCGGCCGGGCCGACTGCGCACAAGGCAAACACCCTACCGCTGTGCTATTGCTCCTGCCCAACCCAAAAAGAACAACAACAACAAAAAAAAGATGATTACTCCTTTGTGTTTCCATACTTAAGCAAGAAAACTACCTGGGACACGGACATTCAAACGCACACCGTACACGGTCTCAAAGCCTGGAAGAGGCCGACATTAATACAAACAGCTTATTTTCTTTTTTCTTTGAAAAAAAAAATAAAAGAATTTTCCGAAAACGAATTACCTAAAATTAAGCCCACCATTGTGCTGAGGTACCCGGTGCCACTGCCCAGGTTGAGGAAGGAGAGACCCGGCTGCAGCTTCAGGGCCTCCATCACCTCCGAGTAGATGCAGGGCGCCGACAGGTGGATGTTGCCGTGCTTCCAGGCCAGGTCCTTGTAGGCGTTGTCACGGAAGCCCTCCAGGTAGTAGTCGCCGCGGTCGATGGCGCGGAAGGCCTGCTCCACGCGCTCGCTGCGGATGTACTGAGCCTCCTTCAGGTTGTCGATCAGGTCGTCGTTGTCCTCCCCGGCGCTCACCGCCCCGCCCATGGTGGCCTCGGTCACACCATCAACTGCAAAGGGAACGAGGAGGCAGGAGGCGCGGAGGAGGCGGCGTCCGTCTGGCAGGCAGCGCGGGGTGTGGTCCGTCTGCCTCCGAACGGGCGCTCGACTTCCAGAACCGAATCGATCCTGGGGGGAATGAGAGGAAACAGATTTCAACTCCTGCCCGAGAGGGAAGCCGATTCCGTTCTGGAAACGTTCCTGCAGCGACCCGCTGCCAACACCTGGCTGCAGGGAGGGGACAGCTCCTTCGTGTCCCTCCTCTCCGAGAGCCACTGGGCCAGGACACGCCAAGGCCCCTGGAGCCATGAGGCCAGACGGTCACATGCCAGCACCTAAGCTAATTCCAACTCGAGCCTGGCCAGACCAGGCTCTCCGGGCCAGAGCGACAGCACAGCCCGCGGGAGGCACCAGCCCATCACGGCCGGCCGGGGGGTACCCCGTGTCCCATACGGGCCCCAAGCCGCACCCGAACTGGTATCCCGAGCACAAAGCCAGGAAAACCCTGAGCCCTTCGAGGTGTGATTCCCCCAAGACCATCAAACAAAACCCCCAAAAACGGAAGAAAGAAAAGTCATGTTCTTGACGTGAAGATCTGGTCTCTGGAGAACGGTCAAGGGCAGCTTTACCGGCACCCACGGATGAGTTTAAAATTCCTCAACTTGAAAGCTAACGTGACAATTCCAAAAACGCACCCCCCGTAAATTCGAAGTGTCAACACAAGTCCTCAAATGCAGTTTTCTTTTTTAATTCAGACCCACATCGTTTACGTGTTTCCAGTGTGGATTAAGATTCTTTCAACTGACCTCACTAAGATCGCTTCAATGACTAACAAGGCAACAACTTTTATTGACAACTTTGATGGTCTAAACATGAGAACATATAGCACACTTACGCACACACACACACACACACACATACAGAGCAAACTTTTTAACAGATCAAACTAAGTTTCTCTGAAGGGAACTGCTACTCTTTGAGTAGCAGCCCACCCACCTCCACCCCACAGGGGCACGCAGGGCCGCGAGGCAGGAAGGGGGTCTCCCACACCAAGGGCACACTCAGACTTGGGGGCCGGGCCTCCCCCCAACAAATCACTTTCAGAAAGGGCCTCCGTTCCCAGAGAAGCAGCCATAGCCCACTGGACCCCAAGAACATCCAAGGGCAACAGAAAAGGAGAGGCAAGTCTGAACAAGTGAGGACAATCCCCTTTCTCCTGCAACAGGTGCGCACTCAAAGGGGAGGTACCCAGAGAACAATTACCTGTTGGCTGCAACAGGCGGGTACTCCAGGGAAGGTACTCAGAAGGAACCGTCCCCTTCCTACTGACACAGGTGGGGACTTGTAGGATAACACTGTTCGGTCCTTCCTGCATAGCCTCGGGAATAGCTGATAACTGATAGTTTATTGATAGCTTACTGGACTGAGGAAAAGAGAAAAACACCTGAAGGAGGTATTTTGCCCTGGGGACCTCAGGAAGGGCTTTCTGATGTTGATCTGGCTTCCTGACTGTGTGGAGTGTCAGCCCAGACTGCAAGGGAGTTGGAGAGGCAAGGGAGCTAGAGAGAGAGAAAGAGAGAGAGAGAGAGAAGAGAGAGAGAGAGAGAGAGAGAGAGAGAGAGAGAGAGAGAGAGAGAGAGAGACAGCAGAGCTGCAAGATGGACCACGGAGAGACGAGCAAGGGGAACACGTGCTTGAGAGAACCTGGGCCCTCCATAACATACGTTTCTTCTATGGGATAAACTTCCTGGTAATACACTGCTACTAAGATCAACCGGCCTGGCCCTCGTCTCTTCCTTCATCTGCCCTTGGCCAACAGCCGTCCTGATGCAGGCCACACACAGCGGCTCTAGGGCACCGAACGCGGGTGGCGAGACGGAGCCATCCAGAGAGCCCGCGAACACACAACCTTCCGCGTGCGTAGTTTTTTACAGGTGCTCAAAGGGCAGGTGCTCACAGGAACAACCCCCTTCCTCCTGCAGCAAGAGGGCGCTCACCGTGACCCTGAGGCAGACCCCCCTGACCCTGTCTGGTCTGGCAAGAACAGGCAGGTGTGCAGAGAGGACGGGGGCGCCCAGGAAGGCAGGCTCGGTGGAGGGGCCCTGGGACAGGAGATGACGGTCTGCTGGGACTTTGGCCCATGGCCAGAGCCAACGCCGTCTGTGTGGAGCAGAGGCGGCGACATAGGGCTGTGACGCTTCACAGGACACTGCGGTTTCCAGAACCTTCCTCGGATTCAGACACTTCCCCTTGCGCAGACTGTAAGGGAAAAGCTGAAGAGCTGCAGTGCCTTCCTGAGGCAACCGACCCGCACACGGTGCCTTCCCCAGAATCACACCAACCAGGCGGGACATCTCTATACAGCAGCGTCAGCCGACAGCCATCGCGACAACGGCAAGGACGGCCGTCAAGCAAAGCCGGACACCCCAGAGTGAGTCTGAGGGCTCTGCGCGGGCAGTCCGGGGGCCCAGGGTCCCCTGCACGGCCGAAGCTCCCCCAGGCCCTGCCAGCAGCGATGCCCAGAAGAGACCCTCCAGCGATCCCCAAGCACCACTGGGAGTGGCCCACAAGCGCCCAGAATAAAATTCGAACGATGAAACCTCAAAAGCAGACGATGAGCCCAGTGGAAGATGCACCGCCAAGTGCCAACCACAGCAGCCTGAGCAGTGCGGGGCACTATCCGGGATCTGCTATTTTCCCTTGCGATCGTCACAGCATCGAACATACTCTCAGTTAAATGGCCCCATGTTATTTTTTCCAGAAGCACTGCTTTTAAAGCACCTCAGCTGCCGTCTCGCTCCAGGTGGGTTCCCGCACATCGCCGCGTCACCTGCGGAGTCCCGAGACAAGACGCCAACGCGGGACGAGCCACACCTGCGTGTGGACGCAGCCACCCTGAACCCTGCGGAAAAACCATCCTCACCGCCCCGTTTCTGAGACGATGAAGATCACGAGGTCCTCTCCTACCATTTCCACTCAGGAGGGAAGGGGGCGCGGGGAGTGGCCGAGTTCTACAGGGGACAATAAAAGCAAAGAAGGGAAGGAACGGAGATGCAGAGAAGGGAGGCTAAGGACCGAGCAGGTTTCAGAACCAAGGCCCCAAGAGCGAAGGCGCCTACGGGCTCGTGACGGGCCAGCAACGGGCTCCGAGCACAGCAGCACCCTTGACAGTTCCTTCGCATGGAGCACGGGGCGGCATCGGAAAACACGCACCCAAGTCTTTTATACATATATGTATATAAAAAAAAAAGGGTATTAGACTAATATCTACAGCCAGGGGAAACGGGGTAGGACTGGTCAATGGCTGGATCTAACCACAGGTGTGTGTGGGGCTGAGGGTAGATGAGACAGAGAAGAGACCAGTGTGATGATAACATCTGGGAATGACCACACTGGACTAGAGCGGAGGGATAAAAGTAAGGGATATCCTTTTTTTTTTTTTTTTTTTGCTTTTTTGGGTCACTCCTGGCTCTGCACTCAGGAATCACCCCTGGCGGTGCTCAGGGGACCCTATGGGATGCTGGGAATCGAACCCAGGTTGGCTGTGTGCAAGGTAAATGCCCTACCCGCTGTGCTATCTATCACTCCTGCCCCAAGGGATATTCTTGAGAACCTTTCAGTACCAATATTGCAAATCACAATGCCCAAAAGGGGGGGAGGGGGATAGAGAGAGGGAGAGAGAGAGAAAGAGACAGAGATAGAGACAGACAGAGACAGAGACAGAGAGACAGAAAGAAGAAAAGCGTCTGCCCTAGAGGTAGGCGGGGAGTGTGGGGTGGGGGGTGATGGGAGGGACCCTGGTGGTGGGAACTGACACTGGTGGAGGGGTGGGTGCTGGGACACTGTGTGACGGAAACCCAATCGTGGACAGCTTTGTGATGGTCCATCTCACAGCGATTCAATTAAAAAGTCAACCCCCCCCCCCCCCCACCATGTGTGGCCCGAGGGGACTTATGACCACCGCAGACGCCGCAGCCTCAGGGTGTCTTTCCAAGGCAGCTCAGGGATACCGTGAGGGAGGCAAGAGACAAGCCAAGGAGGCAGGAAGGCAACAGACGGCAGGCAGATGTCAGGGTGGGCGGGAGCAGGAACGCTGACTCACTCCGCGTCCCTCCTGGCAACGGGCGGGCAGGGACGGGCAGAGCTCGGGCACCTTCCCTCCAAGGTAAGGCTGGAGGCAGGCAGGGCTCCTTCCGAGGTGCTCGGACACCCTGCGCCAGCCCCGGGACCCAGCTGCACAGCAGGAACCCCTTTCCCGTGGGCAGGCGGGACATGGCCAAGGTCAACAGAGAATGACGGAAAGCCGGGACTGGTCACTGCTCCCAAGCACCTCGGGAACTGCAAGGACGCGCTTCTCCTCATGAGCCGGTAGGCGCCTTTGCTCTTTGGGCCCTGGTTCCGACACGTGCCCTGTCCTTGACTCCCTTTTCTTCGGCATCTCTCCTTCCTTCCTTCCTTCCTTCCTTCCTTCCTTCCTTCCTTCTTTCCTTCCTTCCTTCCTTCCTTCCTTCCTCCCTCCCTCCCTCCCTCCCTCCTTCCTTCCTTCCTTCCTTCCTTCCTTCCTTCCTTCCATCAGTTCAGGTGGAGCTCAGCCACCCCTTCCCCTTCCCTCCTGAGAGGAAACGGTGGGACAGAACCTGTGTGGAAGCGGGAAGCACTCCCCACCCTGCCCGGGAGAGTGACAAGTTCAGCACCGGAAGCCGAAGTTCCCTGTGGGACACCAAGCGCACGAGGGAACACAGCGACCAGGGCTCCTGGCCCCGCATGGCCTCTCCCCTCCTGCGGCTGAAGGGCCACTCGGAACTGACCCGCTGACCCCCGCGCTCACGCTCCCCGGCTCCTGCACTCAGTCTGACGCCACTGACCCTGTGATCTTCCTCCGGGAGGCTCAGACGGACCCCCAGACGCAGAGCGTGCAAGCCCACCTCCAGGTGCCGGGAGGAACACAACACCGTCCGGGAACCAAAGGGGGACGGACACGTCCACGCGCAAGGTTTGGGGCGTCCGGAGCACACAGCAGGCTACGGTCACCAGGGAGCAGAGACCGCAGGCAGGGCCCACTGGCCACGGGGCGGCCACCCCCCACCCTTGCTCTTTCTCCTTCCT